TCTAATATCCCCAACATCACGCAACCTGGCATATTTGTTGGGGTTAACCAGTTCAGGGGTGACCTCTCTAGCACTCTTCCCTCTACCCCATCTTCTAACATTGACCCAGCTTCCCACCTCGGGATCCTGCTCCTCCGCACCCTCCATCTCATCTAAGCCCCCCTCCACCACAGCCTGGTGCGCTAGGTCCAGACTCTTTTCCATGTTGGTTATGCACCTCAGTGTTGCCAGTTTGCTGCTTAGATCCAGAATTTGGGCTTCCAAACAAACAACCCACTCACATCGAGCGAAAGTGTATTCCCCCTCAAATGCCTGTTCAAGAAACGCATACACCACTCCAGGAAGACATTTTCCCCTTTATTTATTTTATTCCCTTTTTTTGGTTTAGTGTTTTGTTTTTATTATTATACTACCGCACTGTGGTTATTTTACTGAAGACCTTAATTTAGTTTAATTAACCCTGCATTTAATTTAATTTCGCTACGTCCCTCTGTTTGAATCAACGTTTACTATAGTTCACTATTGTCCTATGGATAAGTTAAGTTAGATTACACTGCTGTCCTAGGGTTATTTTACTAAGGACCTGTAGTTAATCTAATTTGTTTTAATTTATATTCACTACCAAAATTCATTTGAGGGAATCTTGGTAGTAAATGCAGGCCACTTGCTTTGACAGAATTCAGGTTGGAGAATTGTTAGTTTACAGTACCATAGAGTTTTATGAGTGCATTGGTGGTACACTTATGACACTATTTATTAAACAAAAGACACTGCGCTATCTTTAATATTATAAAACCCTAAGTGCATATACTTAGTGACAATTATACAACATGTTCACTCCAACTTATATATAGTCCATATAAAAATATTCTCAAAGTTGATGTGATTAAAAATAAATGTGATGAAATCCTTGTGTTCACTTTCTTTATATACAATGATTATTTGACTCACTGATATAAAGTTCCACAATCACTCGTGACTTCTGTGCTTCAATTCCTCGTCAATTAATCACCAGTGATCCACCTCCAGGTGCACAAACACTAGCACACTCACCAGATAATTCTGACCACCCTGTGGTCTTCAAACGCTCTGCAAAATTCTCTGGTGTGCGATGTCTCCCTCTCCACAGAATCACCAACAGCTGAAAATGATGAGTCTGCCCGATGTCTCTCCCAAATCTCTCTTATCCGCTCAAAATAGAAAACCAAGATGGCACATAGTGTAAAACTGCTAGATGATAGTTTATTTATAAAAATCAGAACACTTACATTTAAAAGAGTATTTCAGCGCTGTAAAAACATAAAATCGGCTTGTATGAGCTCAGCTCTGTCTCCTCCACTCCATTCACTAGCGTCAGCGTGTAGCTCCTCCCCTACGCGTTTGTCCAATGGACTTTGAGAAAGTCCATTGGACGAAACGCGTAGGGGAAGAGCTACACGCTGACGCTAGTGAATGGAGTGGAGGAGACAGAGCCAATGGACTTTGAGAAAGTCCATTGGACGAAACGCGTAGGAAGTCAATAGGGTGTTTTTGAGGAGATTGGGGCAGAGCACTATAGCGTGGATAATCATTTGTTTTGCTATGACACTATTGCCTTTTAAAGTATTTTATGGAAAGCAGGGTTTCTGTTTATCTTACCATTATTGATAAGATAAATATTTACATAATTACGTTGTATTCTGTTTTCCTGTAACATGTTTATTTTTCCCAACAGGCTGTCTTGGCAATTGCGTCATGGTCTGTGATTGCTTTCATCATGTTTGGGATCTCTCTTTTTAGCTACTTTGCGATATCATATGCAACTACTCTGCCATCCGCATATTTAAGCAGCATGCAATATTTTAACTTCATGGGTAAAACACTTTTTATTCTTATGATCTTACTATGTAAAGTGAGCATGGTTTTCTTATTTGTTTATCTCTCAAAAGCTATATGGCTTCTGTCAAGAAAACAACAAAAAAAGATCTGTGCCATCCTGGTATAACCGCAGGAATGGCATTTGAGATTTTTTACTGGTCTCTGGCTGCCAGCATGACAGCTAATGTGATGGCTGTGGAAAGCTGGTAGGTAAAAGGGGGTTTAAATACTTTTTCAATTGTTAGCCATTCAATTGAGATTCCTTTAGGCTTCTCTGATTAACTAGAAGATAGCTGCGCAAATCCCAACATTAGCAGTCCAGAAATGAGCGACCGACCCCTAAATAAATTATACCATACTTACTGTGCCCCAGGGTTGTTGTTTTTTAAATTATGAGTCAATAGTTTCTATTAGGGATGTCCCGATACCACTTTTTCAGGCCCAAGTACAAGTACAAGTACTTCCCCTCATACAACTACATGCCTCAGGACGTCATCGGCGCTGAGCTTGAGAGGAGCGTCGCGTCACTGCTGATCCGGTGGGTGGTGCTCCAGGTGGGGGTCCTAATTTAGGTGGCCGGCGACTGCCTGGACCACCGAAGCAGCAGTCACGCAACGCTCAGCGCAATGCGGTAAAAAAAAGAAAAAAGAGAACGGAGCAAGCTTTGGCGCTTTGTATCGGGGCATTTTGACAAGTACAAGTACTTGTCAAAATGCCCTGTATCGATACCAATGCTAGCTTCGGTATCGGGACATCCCTAATTTCTATTAATTGTTTTTATTAAATTATGAGTCAATTATTCTGATTATTTAGGGTTTTTCTGGTACACTTGCTGAATAACATGGCCACCAGCCCAAATCCCAGTGAACAGCATTATCAGTCCAGTCCAGAAGTAAGTGACTGACCATAAAATAAATTATACCATTCTTACTGTGCCCCAGGTTTTACATTTTTAATTGGAGTCAGTCAATTTTTCAAATTAGTTTAGGCTTTTCTTTGTTCACTTACTAAAGAAGATGTCTGTCCACTGCCATGCCACGTGTCTCTTCATTTTTGAATGCCAGGCCCACATTGCAAGCCAGCTCAGCAGCAGGGTTTCCAGCAGCCTCCAGGGTTCGCCTGCACAAGCTGTTTTTTATTCGTTTTGTGGAGGGTGTGGACAGGAGGAGGTCGTCACATGGTTTGACGTTGCTCCTTACTTCTAGCGCCTTACTGTTTAGCAGTGAAGGACACAGGCAAAGCAGAAGAGGGTGGGTCAGTCATGTTTGTGATTTGCTGAAGTTGCTGTGCACAGTGAGAATTGATGGGAATGACATAACTGGGGGCCCAGGGGGTGGAACCCTCCTTTGGGGGGTGTATTTTTTTTTTCATTGATACTGATGCTGTATGTATGTCATAATCTACTGAGGACAGAGGTGTTGCACTTGGTTCACTGGTACATAACAGAGCACCAGTGTATTCATCTCCCAGGGCTCTGGACCTACAAAAGTGTTCTTTTTGTACAAATTGTAAGACTATAATGTCATATGAAATGTTTCTTATATTTTTTTAGGTGCGATGGTAAATTCCATCAGTAGCATATACTTGTGGCTCATTTTGCTGTTGGCTGTATTTGTAAGCATCATTCCTTCTCTCTTCTGCCGAATATGGAATAGACTAATCCCTAAGAGCCATTCGGTAAGTCAAACCAAGACACTGAGATGTTATTGCCTCTGGCCATAACAAAAAGGACAATATAGAAATTCATGTTTTGCCCGCCCCTTTCATTTATTGGATTTCAAGTCTTTCATTAATGGAGGCTCAGCAACACATGTGGATGTTGCTTAAGGTGGCCTGCATTCAAGTACGGTATTGTTCCGAATGCCCACTCCCCCATATTGACCACCCATCAAGGCATTTTAATATTTGCAGCTCCTCCGGGGAACCAGTTTATAGCTTGCATCTGGGCAAAGGACTCTTGAGAAAAGTACTAAGGCAGAGTGCTGTGATGTTTTCAGAAAACTATGTACGGCATCCTGTTGGTGCCTCCCACCAGCTATAATCTGCCTGCATTGCAGAGAGAAGCACAGAAACCCCATGATCATGTCACTGGGTCTAAAATAATAAGGTGGGTGTAATTTGGAGGGGAGTGACTAGGTGCTGTGCAGGAACAGGAAGTGTCCTTGTGTAGGACTCCTGGTCCCTGTGGACATTGCAGGGCTGTGGGTTGCACTGCAGAAGCAGCAGGCAAGCTTGAGCAGGGTGCAGCTCACCCCGTACCCCACATGAAAATCACTGTGTTTTACTAAATGGGCAGCGCTAATCTACAAAATTAAATGTGTGAACTAATCATAGTCAAAAAAGCTGCTGTGATATAGACCCCTGGAGGTCTAGTGAATGAAATACAAAGAAACAAACAGCGCTAGTTGTGCTAGTGAAAATATTTAAATCAAACAGTGTATATACGTCAATTTTGACATATATGGAAAAATCAATTAAAAAACAAGCAATATTTTCTAAAATTATTTGCTTCCGTGAACAAAGGGTTAACCCTGTGTATTCAAGTGAACAATATATGTTTGAATATTATTTATAGTGTTTCATATAGAACTATATGTAATGTGACTTTGTGATCAAATATGTAAAATAAAATAAAAATTGTGACTTTGTGATCAAGTATATAAATATGTATGAATTCAGTGAATATTCAATAAAGGAAATCTTTTTTAAACAAATAAAAAAGTCTCTGTGTTAATTCAATCCGTTTTGAAGTGAAGAAGATGATAACGACTTTTTTTCAAGTGTTGGGTGATGTACACTTTGTTCTGGGGAGTGTATTGGAATCAATACATATCCCCTAAGAGTAGGCACTCACCCCCGGTCTCTGACTGTAACAGACAGTCTCACACGTAGTATTTCACCGAAGTAGATTGGTCCGGTGTTAGTTGCCGGCACCTTTGCTACCGTCGGTTCTCCAGAGATCAAGCACTCAGTCTCTCATGTAAAGAAAGAAAAGTCCTTCATAGTGTAGTCATTCCAAAGGTAGTTTATTTGTAATTTAAAATTCAAAAGCAATGAACAAGTCTGACCGGTCCGGCAGGTATCAGGTTTGGTATGAAAAAAGACCCGCCCCTACGCGTTTCGTCATCTAAGACGTCTTCAGGGGAGCATGCAAGTTGAAAAAAGTCGTTATATACATCTTATATACATCTTCTTCACTTCAAAACGGATTGAATTAACACAGAGACTTTTTTATTTGTTTAAAAAAGATTTCCTTTATTGAATATTCACTGAATTCATACATATTTATATACTTGATCACAAAGTCACACTTTTTATTTTATTTTACATATTTGATCACAAAGTCACATCACATACTGTTCTATATGAAACACTATAAATAATATTCAAACATATATTGTTCACTTGAATACACAGGTTTAACCCTTTGTTCACTGAAGCAAATAATTTTTGAAAATATTGCTTGTTTTTTAATTGATTTTTCCATATATGTCAAAATTGAGGTATATACACTGTTTGATTTAAATATTTTCACTAGCACAACTAACGCTGTTTGTTTCTTTGTATTTCATGAAAATCACTGCGTCACCCCCTCCCTTGACCAAGCCCTGGCAGCACCCAGCAAAAATCCAATGTAGCAGATGTATCGCTAGAAATAATTTGATATATTTTGCAAGGAACCATGTTGTTGTGTTAGGATATTGTTTGGTCTTGCATATGATTAAAAAAAAACAAATAAACCTTTAGAAAAATAGGAATGTCTGTACTATACACCACTGACAATAAGGGGATAGTTTATGATATAAACGATTGCATATGGCTGCAGTCATAGTATTCATCATGCCTCTGCTAGTTTTGTGTATCAGGACTCTGCCACATTAACATAACAGACCAATGTGTTAGTGTACAGGATCTATATAATAAGCGCTTTTATATGGCCATATATCTGTTTTGAATGCTTCATATTTTTTGCTGGCAGCACTTTTAGTGAATTTACAGTTGCGTGATATTACACTATACTTTCCCAGAAAAGATATACTTAACCGAAACTGTGTCATGTTGGGGCTCTGTTTTCTTGTTCTTTAGAAATATCATATACAAAAGTGGATAGTAACAACAGTGCACAAATAATCAAGTTTGTTATACCTATAACATCAAAATGAATGCCATTGGCACAATAGTCCTGTTGGAACAGCAGTTAGGTGATGGATCATTAGCTCCTTGTGATTAGAAATTTTTGCATCGCTATTATCATTATTATATATATTATTTGTGGGGATGTTCAGATACTAGTTCAGATACCAGTGCTGATACTTGAGAACTAATATTTTCACGAGAAATACCAGGGTTGCAGAGGTTGCAGCTGTGACACGGCCCTGGCGCTCCACCGCTGTCCTGAAATCATTTGTCTGTATTATTTTAGAAAAACTGTCACATGACAATAAACAAAAATGTATCAGTACTTGCATCTGTGAGGGCATGTATTTGTACTTGGTCTAGGAAAAAAATGGTATAGGTGCATCCCGATATATGTATATAAAACAAATCATACATTAAAACAGGGATGCACAAATCCCAGGAGCTCCTTACAAATGACAGCTGCTTCCTAACTTTTGAGTTTTTCTTGGAGCTGAAAAAGTATCAGTACTTCGTATCTGAACATCCCTAATTATTTGCATCATGTTTATTTACATATCCAGAAATGTATTGTTTTGTTATGTGCCGGTAAATAATTTTCGATGATTTTTTGCATACTTTTTTTTTTTAAATCATGGTTTACAATTTCAATGCAAAACAAAAGGTTTTCACTCCACCTTCAGAGTTTAGTGCTGATCCAAATAACACTATTAAAGTATAAGTGTAGGCAAACAGTAAGTGCACAGTTCAAATACATTTTTGTGAATTGTCTTTTCTAATCTAGACATCCCTGCCAGACGCTTTACTAGACCCTGGCCATTTATTTTCCTCCAATGCAGTCAAAGAAATACAGCCTAAATAAGACTGCCATTGGATGGCAAAGGAACAGCAGCGTGCTGATATTCATGTAGGTGCCCTCTCCTCCAATCAGTGAGTTAAATTTATTATATTCCCTCCACTGTGCAATTCAGTATTCCTGATTGGCTGACACTGCTGTCCCTTCCCTCTTCCAGTCTAAATGCTGTTGTACTGATTACAGGAGACTAGTAATAACACAGATTGTAACACTATTTAAAAGTATTCTTTAATGAACACATAATTGGATGTAATATTTATATTTGCCCACAATTACACTTTCGCCGCAAACACCTCTTAAATAAGCTGTGACTTTTGCAATGCACTTATATTTATTTATACGATGTACTTTAATCACTTATTTTTTTATAAATAAATAAAACTGCTTTAATGAATCTTTCCAGGTAACCCCACGATTAAATAACATAGACCTGAACTCTAATTTCCAAAGGAATCATTCCAGAAGACGGTCCAGCTATGCTTTCTCGCATAGTGAAGGATATGGAAAAATTGTCACCAGCCAGAGAAAACATAAGAAATGTAACATCCATATGAAAGATAAGGAATTAAATAAAGAATAAGTGACATTTGTAATAGTGAGCTTACACAGTACATTATACTATTCATTAGAACAGGGAAATGTTGTATTATAGTGTATCTATAGCCAATTTTTTCGTTACTTTTGTATAGTGTGGGACCGATTCAAACACCTGTCAAACCTGGGGCTGTTAGAGAGATTTTCCCTCACTTCCTGTCCCAGGGTCAACCTTTGCACCAGAGAAGACGTGAAGGAAACTCAGCAACACAGACAGAAGTATAATGATTTTTTTTATGTTAAGTAAGGGTAAAACCCATGTAAGGTTATTATCGTTCTCTTTCCCTGTTACAGATTTTTCTCAGTTCCTGCCTGGGGAAATGTTGTCCCCAAAATAGGACGTGAGGTGAAATCTCTCTAATGGAGCCCACAATAGGAGTAAAAACCTAATGGGGGTTCTAACCCTTCCCCCACGCTATCCAAAACGAAGAAAACAAAACTGCTATAGAAACCTTATAAAAGACACGCACGACTCATGTTTCTACAATCTGAATGTTTAGATTCCTAATGTAAACACACAGCAGGAGTTTCTATGTTGCTACAAACTGACTTTAGAGTCTTTGTTGTTGTTATCTTTGAGGAATTTTGAGAATTAGTTCACAGTACAAGCAGCTAGTTAGGTCAGTCAGATATAGTTTGTTTTAAAGCTCTTTTACTGCTTAAGATTAAGCAGTTAAGATTAAGTAAATACTTAATGATATGGTCATTTTAGATACCATCTAGAAAACTTAAATTTTAGAGGGTATATCTCCTACATTTAACTTCTACCTCCTATTGCTGCTCCCCCCGAAAATGTTACCTGCTGTCGAAACGACAACCGGAAATTGCTATGTATTGCATATCATAAGCAGCTATCAGAATGCAGCCGTGTAAAAAGTGTAAAATGACACTTGAATAAGTCTACAAGTTTTATTGAGTAATACATGTAACAATTTAATTCATATGTACATCAAAGGGGGTGACCTTTCATCTGCATATGACATCAGTTAAAGAAACCTTGCAACTGAAAAGGTTTTCTTTAAATAAAATGTAATTCCTATTTAACCCCTTAAAAAAAACTTGTTTAACTCTAATCAGGCTTAATTAACTCCTTCCTTTTATAACTTCTATTTTTTCTAAACTAAAATAGAACGTTTTAATAGAACTTAAAACTTATTTCTTATTTTATAGTGGAATTTTGTACATAGATTACATAGAAAATAAAATCATTTTTGGAAAACAATATTGCCAAAAGCCTAATTTGTCTGCAAAAAACAATGCATGTATTAGTTTGCCTTAAGTAATGACAAAGTTACTATCAAATAAACAGGCATATAGTGGAAATGTAAAAATTGCTCTGGTTCATAGGGGGTATAAAGGTATAGGAGCTAGAAGTCTGGACACTTTAAAGCTTTTAGGAAACTTGGCACTTTTTGAAAGCTTTCTGCGATGTGTAGAAACCTTCATACGTACACTGTGTAAGGATTTCAGTTCATCAGATTATTTTTCACGCACTCCATTCATAGAATATAACAACATAAAAGTGTTTCCTTTATCTGTTCAGTGCAATGTCATTTGGACATTTTATTAAGGAAGTGCAGGGTCTAATATAAAGATTTGGATAGGGTGGGGAAGGATTACAATCTGTCATCTTTTTATTGCTGTACACACTTGGAAGATTTATTTTTATTTACTATTTCATAGGTGTCAGAGCAGGAAGGGAGTGATAATCTACATACCTCCTGTCTTTGTAATGGCTGTCAGGAAGAATAAGAAGTGAGCAGAAATCTCTCAAGGGAACAGGAATAAAAACATATTTCCAAGCAGAGTAAAGATGGTATACAAGCTCTGTCAGGATTTTATTGCTGTCTGTTGGCGAATCAGAGATGTCACCTCACTTTCTGTCCAAGTTACAGGTGTCAGACAGAAAGACAACATACAAATGTCCTCTATGAGGACACAGGCAGCATGTAAAATCTGACAGAAAAGCCTCAACTGGCACACGGAGAGCAATAAACATCTGACAGATGTCCCTCACTAGTTAGTCGGGTTATCTGCGGAATCATTTTACTTTTGATAATAGGGATCATGTTTTTAGGATGATAAAAGAAACCAATGTTTGTGTATATATACTGTATAATAAAAATGTGGCTGCTCCTTTTTTTCTTCTCCCCAGCGCAGTATAAAATTGTCAAAGGATCTTTGCTCTGACTATATTAAACTGGGTCTTACTATTAAGGGCAATTACAAGAAGTGAAATGGATCAGTATAAAAATATAAGTAACTCTGGGCTTAAGGCCCCATTCACACCTAGGCGTATTGTAATATGCTCGTCTGTCGCGCGACCGTCACGCGGTTTTTTTACCGCGACTCGCGGTAAAAAAGTTGCGCGATTCCAAAGGCTACTTGGCTGTATCCCAATGGAAAACGCCCTACAAAACGGCCCAAAGTAGTCCCGGGACCTTTTCAGGCGTGGGCCGTTTTGTAGGGCGTTAGGGACGGGCGGAAATACGCCTAGGTGGGAACGAGGGCATTGACTACAATGCTATTTATTTTTTTGACCGTTTTGTAGAGCGTTCGTCGAGCGTAGGACGCGCTACAAAACGATCAGGTGTGAACAAGGCCTTATATATATTATGAAAAAGTAGCAATTGTTAAGTGATGGTCTCCACTGCCATAATGTTTATTGATAAATCAGGATGCTTGTGTGAGCTCTTTCTGAAAAATTGAAAATGCTTTTGTGGCCTGATGATTCAATAAATAAAAGAGCTGCACATTTGCACAAAGTGCTTTTTACTTATTTCCAAGTGTAACAGGGTGCACATTGGGAACTGCTGAGTGTATTTGGGGTGCATGCTGGAGTGTGCCAAGTGTATTGGGGTGTATGGTGGAGTGTGATGATTGTTAAGATGTGCATGCTATTATGTGTTGGGTGTTACAAAGTGCAAGGATGAGAGTATGGATTAAAAGGGGGTGCATGCAGGGGCGTATCTGCCGCGAGGCAAACAAGGCGTTTGCCTCGGGTGGCATTTTTGCCGCCCCCAAAACATTTAGGCAGCCGGGCTGCACAGAAACTGGCAACCAGGCTGCCTAATGTTAACAGGGAGGAAGCAGCGGGCGGGGTAGCAGGAGGAGATGGGGGACGGCAGGAGGTGGAGATAGAGGAGACGGAGTGGCAGGGGCGGAGACAGGGGAGGTGGGGCGGAAATGGAAGAGGCGGGCCGAAGACTACAACAGAGGAGGCAAGATCAGAGGCCGCGATGGAGGAGGCGGGAGGCGTCGCCGAGGCTCGGGCTGGGTTTACTGTGCCAGGTAGGAGGACGACTGTTCTGGCAGGGCCCAGCATAGGTTCTGCACAGCCCACCAAAGAGTCGCAGGTGGGCTGTGCAATAACTTTTGGTGGGTTTTGCAGGATCTGTAGGGGGCTCTGCAGCTTGCAAAGCCCACCAGAGATTCTGCACAGCCCCGCTGAGACCCGTCAGACTGGAGTGTCTCAGGGGGTCTCTGCATGATCTGTGGGGGGCTTTGCAAGATCCGTAGGGGGCTCTGCAGCTTGCAAAGCCCACCAAAGATCTTGCACAATTCCTCTGAGATCCATCAGACTGCAAGGTCTCAGGGGGGTATCTGTGGGGGGCTTTGCTGGGTCTCGGGGGTCTCTGCAACCTGCAAAGCTCACCACAGGTCTTGCACAGCCCCCCTGAGATCCTGTAGCCTGCAGGGTCTCAGGGGGTCTCTGCAGGATCTGTGGGGGGCTTTGCAAGATCCGTAGGGGGCTCTGCAGCCGGCAAAACTCACCACAGGTCTTGCACAGCCCCCCTGAGATCCAGAAGACAGAAGGGCCTCAGGGGGTCTCTGCAGGTTCTGTGGGGGGCTTTGCAGGTTCTGTGGGGGGCTTTTTCAGGATCCATAGGGGGCTCTGCAGCCTGCAAAGCCCACCACAGATCCTGCACAGCCCCCCTGAGATCCGGCAGACTGCAGGGTCTCAGGGGGTCTCTGCAGGATCTGTGGGGGGCTTTGCAAGATCCGTAGGGGGCTCTGCAGCCGGCAAAACTCACCACAGGTCTTGCACAGCCCCCCTGAGATCCTGTAGCCTGCAGGGTCTCAGGGGGTCTCTGCAGGATCTGTGGTGGGCTCTGCAGGGTCTATGGTGGGCAGAGCCCATTACGGATCTTGCACAGCCCCCCCCCAGACCCTGCAGACTGCAGGGCCTCAGGGTGGCTGTGCAGGATCAGTGGGGGGCTCTGCAGGGTCTCAGGGGGCTGTGCAGGATCTGTTGTGGGCTCTGCCCACCATAGACCTTGCAGAGCTCACCACAAGTCCTGCAAAGCCCGCCGCAGACCCTGCAGAGCCCACCACAGATCCTGCACAGCCCCCCTGAGACCACAGCTTTCCTGCTACACTAATAGCGGAACATGTCAAAAACTGGATACAGCATGTGCACTATCCAGCGGCTGACAGGTTACGCAAAAAGTATTAAACAGGAAGGGGTGGGGTAAATTTAGTGGGGGGCGCCCAAGTTTTGCCTTGCCTTGCCTAGGGCAGCCCCAAACCAGAATACACCACTGGGTGCATGGCGTAGCGTTCTATATATAATGGGGTATATAGTGTAGATATCGTAGTGTAATGGGGAGCCTGCTGTGGAGTGTAGTAGTAGATGTCATAGTGTGATGGAGTACTTAGTGGAGAGTGAATACAATGGAGTTTATGGTGCAGATTTCTGAGTGTAATGAGGAGAATGCTATGGAGGCCCGAGTGTAACGCAGTACATGGTGGAGAGTCTTGAGTATAATGGAGAGCATACTGTAGAGTACTGAGTGTAATGGAATGTGTATGGTGGGGAATATTTAGTGTATTGTGGTCAATGGTGTTAATGTAATTTTCTGAGTGCTTTTGGCATTTATATTATGGATTGCTAAGTGTTATCTACTTTAGGCTCTGCTTCCTGTTGAGACACCCCTGCCACCAAATAAAGATTTAATTTTTTTAAATAGATATCCAGTATATATACACTGCCCCATTTTAATTTTTGCCCAGGACTGTTTGCCAAAAGTTGTCCCTGTGTCGTAATTTGAGCGCGGTAGAGAGCATACACCCCTACACAACTGACCTGGAAGGTCTAGGCTCAACTTGGAGACAGACTAAAAAATAATGATTTCGCTAACTTTCCCATTCTATGTTTTTGCAAATGAAAGCATCTTCTGATTCACAGCTAGGCATACACAACCTAACTCAAGCTAACAACCTGACAGATGCAAGCAACAACTGATAGGTGGACCATGCCATGCATGGCAGTCGTTCTCAACCTTTTTGGGCAATATAACGCTTCAAAGGGTTATTAAGTTCAGGAAACTCCTAAAAAATAATGCATTAAAAATCAATTTTAAAGTGAAATTTCCCCTTTTATTCATCTGCTGACTCCATGCACTCCATAGATACATTGTAAACATATATGTTTACAGCCTGTTCTTATCTCTTTAACAGTGACTGCGTCTGTGCACTGGATCCCCATTGACTTGAATAGACCTGTATAATGGAGATCTCTAGTATAGGTATACAGCCCTATTTAAGTCAATGGGGACCCAGTACGCAGGAGTAGCCAGCACTGAAGATGTTTTTGACGAACTGTAAACACAGAATAAGTGAAAATAAATGAAAATAAGTAAGTGGCTAGAGGGGAAGGGGGGGGCTGGATTAAGAAAAAGTTGTTAGGAAGGTCCTTATTATGATAAGTCTTTTAGTTTAACATCCACAGGTTTTTGGGGCCATTTGTATGGATATAGTAAACAACAAGAGATCCATAAACATTACTTTTTTGTGGTGTAATTCCTAGTCACTCTAGTATATGATTACATTAGCTATGAATAAAACACTGACCACTGAAAAAACAACACTGTTTTTTTATTCATTTATCATAAGTGCTACATTTCAAAGAACTACAAAAAGCTGGCTTTATGATATGGTGTAACAACATGTAGTATCCACTAGATAGAGGGAAAGAGAGAATTTCAGGCTTGTAAAGGTTTACAGGTTTTCATTCATGTTGTGGACTTCATTTTCCAAGTATATCCAGTGCCATGAGTAAGGGGAAAATGGAACATTAAAGGGGTGCTGTGGGAACATTTTCAGCATTGGCATTTGAATGTTTTTATGCATCTGATTGACCCATTTCTGGCAAGTAGAAAAAGGACATTCCCCATATGTCTTCATATAATTACTTTTCTCCAACACTGGCCATGTGCTTGCTCTCTGACACTTAGGCTTCTCTTTCTTTAAGTTCTTTACTTCTACTGGTAAGCAATCCCGCTCTGCTCCAGGCCTCAGATGTTTTCGGAACTTAGCACGACGATTTTTAAACCACACCTGATGAGATGAAATGCATTTTACAACAGGTAAACAATAAAAAATAAATCA